CCCCACCCCATCCATCCCAACATATCCTATCCCACCCCACCCCATCCATCCCAACATATCCTATCCTATCCCATCCCATCCCATCCCATCCCACTCATCCCAACATATCCTATCCCACCCCATCCCATCCCTCCCAACATATCCTATCCCACCCCGTCCCACTCATCCCAACATATCCTATCCCACCCCTCCCAACATATCCTATCCCACCCCATCCCACTCATCCCAACATATCCTATCCCACCCCTCCCAACATATCCTATCCCACCCCACCCCATCCCATCCATCCCAACATATCCTATCCCATCCCATCCCATCCTACTCATCCTAACATTTCCTATCCCATTCCATTGGCTCCACAGATCAATTTTCTTCCAAGGCAATTACTGAGTACATTTTTTTATTTTGAATTTTATTTGCTATCTTCTGGCATCTTAACTCCTTGATCCCTCCTTTGTTTTGTATCTCATCTTCCATTTTGAGAGGAATCTTCAAGTTTTGATATTTATTTTCCACATAGATACACACTTAACTTATTCAACTTTCCATTGTGCATCAATAAGATGCTGGGGAAGGAGCTGTCTTTTTGTCTTCTACCCAGAATTCATTTGTAGTCTTTTGTCTCTTGTTAAGACAGTTCCAAACATACCCCTTGTGTGTGACGTCTGAGAAGTCTGTAAAATTAAAGCTACTTGATTATGAATGCTATGAAAAAGGTTTTGACAACTTTTGGTGGTATTTAATTCAAGTGAAACTCCTCTCATTCAAAATAATAAGCACGATGTTGCTTATTATGTAAATGAAATGGCATGGCAGATGTTTTTCGTCCCAATGCCCTCACTGGGGATTAATACACACAGAAACTGAGTGGGAGGTGTTCAGCCTGGAAACTCGAATGAGGGTTGAGCAACAGGAAGGAGCATGATTCTGGAGCTGCTCTGTCCAACAAGGGAACCAATAACCACATGAAGCTACTTACATTTACATCAGTTAACATGAACTAAAATGAAAAGTTTCTCAGTCACATCGCCATGATTCATGTGTTCAATAGCCACATGTGGCTAGTGGCTACTAACAGAAAAACTCAGACATAGGATATTCCCATCATTGGAGAAAGTTCTATCAGACAGTGCTGCTAACCACGTAGGTATTAAAATAGAGCTAGGGATGCATGTAGATTCCTCTTATCAATTGGAACTTTATCCACAAGGGTTTGTAGAACCTCTCAGCATGTGTGTAGATGGGTAGAAAGCCAAGAGGTGCAGGGGTTAGGGCCAGGTGGCTGCTGGTTGGGTGCCACCTCCCCATCTCATGAGGATAACCCAGAGCTATGCTTCTCAATCTTTAAATGTGTATTCGTATCACCTGGAGATCTCAGACTGCAGCTATGGATTCGGTAGGTCTGGGTTGGGCCTGACAGTCAGCATTCATACCTGGCTCCCAGGTGAAGCTGCTGATGCTGTCCTGAGGACCACACTTGGGGAATCAATGATGTGCAGCACTATTCCCCAATCTTGGCTCCACAGAGTAATCACCTGGAGAGGTTTCAAAACTACTGATGCCTGGATCTCCCCTGCAGAGATTTGGATTTAATTTGCCTGAGGTGCAGTCTGGGCATTAAAGATTTTTAAAAGCTCCCCAAGTGATTGCTACTTGAGAACCATTGACGGTGATAAAGCAAGTTTATGAAATCTGAGGACCAGAAGCATTGGCTTCACCTGGAAGTCTGTTAGTTAGAAATGCAGGGACTCAGGCCCAACCTGCATTTCCTCACCATTCCCCAGGTGAGTTCTTATACATTTAAGGTGAGAACTGCTATTAGATTAGTGGTTCTCAACCTTGGCTGCACATTAGAATCACCTGGGAATATTTTTAAAATCCTGATTTCTGGGCCTCAGCCTCCAGAAATTCTGTTTCTTTGTTACTAATGTTGTGGCCCCACTCCATAACAAAGAAACAGAATTTCCGGAAGATGAGGCCCAGAAATCAGGATTTTAAAAAAGATTCCCAGGTGATTCCAAGGTTGAGAACCACTGTACTAGATAGATAACTTTTTAAAGTAATAATTTATCAATCTATGTATATGTGTTTTCCAGAAATTCTTCAAAAGTAGTAAGTTCTGCTAGTTCCTAAAAATATTAGGTCATATAATTGAGGCTATACTTATGCCAAATAATTGAAGGTTTATTAGATTTGTCATTACACAGACACAAACTTGGCAGTTTCTGCTTGCATTGTCACAGAAGGTATCAAAAATCCCAGCATAAAAGTTATTATTCAAGATAAAGCACTGTTCCATTTTTAGTTTAAAGCCTTTTGATTTTTTGAAAACTGTATGCTTTTCATTCATTACATAGATTCCAACACAGATGCATTCTTAATTTATGTAAGATTTCATTATGCAACACTAAGATCCTGAGGTGGTGGGGTGATGGAGAGGGACTTTAATTAATGTCTTCACACACACACACACACACACACACACACACACACACACACACACACACACACAAAGTTTCTAAGACTGTATTTTCCAAATAAGTCCCTCTGAGTATTTATTTTAGGAGAACAGTCCCAAATATAGGCCAACTATGTGATGGGACAGAGCAGTGCTTCTCAAGCTCGAATGTGATAGAAAGCACTTGCAGCCCTTGTTAAAATGCAGACTCTGAGGAATTAAGTCTGGGGTGAGGCCCGAGACTATTTCTACAATAAAGTGTTGTGATGCTTATTGGTCCATTGACCATATTTTGAGTTAGATGACTCTTCCAGGACACCTTTGTGTAAACGCTCATCTCAATGACTCAACAAATCAAATGGTCTGGTATGAGCAATGAGCAGGGTGATTTTCTTGAAAGTGCTGATTTGTTCATTGGAATCACCTAAACCACGGACATCAAAAGGTCAAAATTATTCACAGACTTGTCATTAATTGAAAGCTAATTGGGAAATGAAGTGATTTAAGGCAAAAGCAAACTAGCAACACAAATACCTCAAATGACTACTGGGGCAAAATTTTGAAAATGTTGCAAGCTGTCTGCATGCTTGAAGTAGCAATTTGCATGCATAATTAGGTGCAATCAACAGTTTTGAAATGTAATATATTTTCTGAGCCCATATTTACTTATGGCAGATGCAAAAAAAATTCAGTGTCCCCAAAAAAATAGAAGGGCAGAGAAAGGAAAAAAATATTTGCATTTAACAATGGGAATCTTTACAAGCACATGCCTAAATTTAGAACAAATATAGCTGAAGTATTGCATCTTTATTTTGATTTAAACTTCATTTAAGCCTTAAATTCACAAACACATTTTGGAAGTAAAAAGCATGGAAGAATGGTAACTTACCAGTCAGCTGCTCCAGCTCCTGTGGAAACTGACATGTGATTTTTATTCCTACACTGTAGAAAGAAAATCTGTCAAATACAAAACTTTATTGCACAAAACACTATTGACTTTCTTTCTGCCTTCAGAAGAAGCTTCATTCTTTGAAGATGCCAAGTATCTTTTAGAATAATTTATATAAAACGATTAATTAAGCTGGCAATTTCTTTTTCCTAAATCCAGGTCCTCAGATGCGTGCTCTTGTGAATCTGTACTATCTTACTGTTTTCAGGCAGTGACTGTCGAGTACTCACTATGCACTAGGGTACTTTGCTAAGCCCTTTATTCAGATAATCTAATTTACCATTATAAAAATACTATAAGAATTGATTTAGTACAATGCACTGAGGAGGAACTAGAGGTTAAGTAACTTCTTTAAAGGCACCTACCTCTATTATCTGTTTTCTGGCTGGTACATTACTGCATAAACATAAAGGGTCATAGTAATATTTTAAAAGTGTAGACTTTGACAATGAGCTTGGAGTCTAGTTTTGTAGAAATTTTGAAGAAAAAGCGACGGAGTAATTCTGTCCCCAAACTTTTTTCTTTCTAAAAGCATGTTCACATTGCATTATCCAGATTGGCTGTCTATGCTGATTAAATTAAAGTGGCAATTAATTTCTGTCATACAGGCAGAGTGAGAGATTAAGAGATTGCATTGAAGGACAAGACCTAATGATGTGTTCTTGTGTGACTGCGTTTATTGGGGGCAGTGTGTCTTGATGTGTAAAAGTTGTACGTTCACGCAAAGCAGGCACGAGATGAATAATGCCATTTTCTAGTTTCATTAGGCAAGTGTTATCTGTGATACATTGTGTGCTGGAGGGGGGGCAGGGGGGATGCATGAGTTATTCATTTATTTATCTCCTGATCCATTTGGGGGCATTATGGAAGTCAAAGCCCAGAACAATAGGCTTTATTTAATATTGAACAGGTTCTCAATAACCCGCTCTTCCTCTCCGTGGCTGCTGGACAGGCGGAGTTGCAGTAACAGTTCCCCTGAAGTTGGAAGCGACTCCCAGGACCAAGTGGTGTTAAATTTAGAAGTCATCCCAATCACCTGACTGTCGGTGAACCCCAATTTCAGAATGTCCAAGTCTCCCTCTGTCATCACTATATCTGTCTGGATTCATAGACGCGGCTCACCGCCCGGCCTGGGGTCACCTCGGGAGCCTCCTGGAGACCTGGCCTGCCGAGGGCGGCCTCCCCGCCCCGGAGAGCTGGCCCCTCGGGAGCCGCGGCGCCCAGCTGGCGCCCACCCCGGGGTACATGGCAGTCAACGCCTGGCAGTGACTTCTCGCTTTTCCCTCCGCCTCCCCCATCGACCCTCCACTGCCAACCTTGACGCCCAACTCGGGCGCGCTGCGAGCCTCGCGTCCACGCCATCCACGCGGGGCCCCACCCCTTCCCGCTTCCAGCCCGCGCTGGGGCCGGAGGGGAGGGAGGTCGATTTCCTGCCGGGAATTGACGGCCGGCTCCCCTTCCCTCCGGGGCTGGTGCGGGGCTGCGAGGCGCGCGGCCGGCAGCGGAGCTCAGATCCCACCCGCGCGCACCGGAGGGGCTGACCCGACACCCGCTCGGCCGCGGGAGGGAGGGAGGGAGGGAGGGAGGGAGACAGACCCGCGCAGAGTGGAGGTGGGGGTCGCCCGCGGCGGGGGGTGGGCGCACCAGTCACCAGCCCCCCGTATGCTCTTCTTCCACTCCTCGCCGCCGCCTCGCACAGGTCGGAGCAGCCTCCTGTCCTCGGCTCCTTAGCGTCGGGGAGAGGCCAAAGGTGAGGGACCCGCGCCCGGCCCGCGGGCGGGGCCGGTGGATGGCACTCGCACCTGACGTTCCCTCTCGCTGTCCGTTTCGCCCGGCCCCAGCCGGCCCTCCGGTTTGCTCTTCCCGTAACTTTGTTCAGAAGGTGGGAGGGGAGGGGAAGCGCCGAGGGGCCCCCGGAGAGAGACGGGAGCGCGACGAGGACCGGGAGGCCAGACCGGAGAGCAAGTCCCCGAGCGCCCCCGGGCTGGGCGCGCGGCTGGGAGGCGTCGCCGCCGCTGCCGCCGCCGCCGGATGCGCTCTGCTTAGCGGGGCTGCCGGGGGCGCCTGAAGGCCACCGCGCCAAGGACACGCGGCCGCCCGCGCTCGCGCTCCACCGCCCCGGCGCCGCCAGAGCCAGAGCCGGAGCCGAGCCGGCGAGCGGAGCGGCGGGGAGCGCGGGCGCAGGGCGGCAGCAGGAGGGCGCGCGGGAGGCGGCCCCTCCTCGGCGAGCCATGCGTGCCGCGGGCAGCTGAGGAGCCGCCGCGCGCCGCTGCCAAGTCTCCGCTCGGCTTTTGTCTTGCCCTCCAGTGAATGGGAAGATGGAGATGGATGTGGAGGGAGTTTCTCCGCGCCCGGAGCCCATCCCCCGGCCCCAGGGGGCTGGCGGAGCCTGCCAGGCGCCGCCACCGCCGCCCCAGCTCCAGCCCCAGCCCCAGCCGCAGCCGCTGGCTCAGGATGAACTGCCCGGCGAGAGTGCGGGACCCGAGGACGGCGACGATCCGGAGGCGAGACCCCGCGGCGAGAAAGGGGAGAGCAAGGTAGGTCCACAGTGTTGGCGCTGTGACACCTTTTGAACAAAACCAAGGAGCTCGAGGAGCGGCTGTCACTTTAAACCCGCCGCTTCCCCCGCCCCCTCCCCTCGGTTGTGTGGTGGTGGGGGCTGCAGCGGTGGGGAAGGCGTGCGATTGAAGGGAATCGTTGGGCAGTAGTGACTTTCTGAACTGGAAGGCGTGAGCCGAAGTCTGCCCGGTTTCCCTATTGAGCGGTCTGTGCAGAGAAAAGTCTTCTGGTTCGTGCGATGCGTTGCCAGGGCAGAGCCCACACCTCGGGAGGGCAGTGCCCGGAGACCTTGGCTTCCGCACAGGAGACCAAGCTAATTTGGATGATCTAGGTCAGGGGGAAACACATGTCTTCAGGAGTTGCCAAGTGGCTTCTGAGACTCCTCCGAGGAAGGTGACATCAACCTAAAGATGACAACAATGGGAGCAAAGTTTGGCTCCTTTGTAGAATGCAGATCACTGCTTAACCCAGCTCTAAACTCCTCGCCCGGCACCCTCCTACCTAGGAGGGTGGGGACCCAGTGCCTGGCAGCAGGTGAGCCCTGCTGTGTCATCGTAGACCTGGGGACAGCTACTACTTCCTGTGGAGAGAGAGTTCTCCAGGGAACTGGATCCCAGTAAGAAATGGTTCAGATGCCATTCTCTGGTGCTGGTGCTTCTCCGCTTGAGAAAATTGTCAAGTAGATGCAATGGCACAGAAAAGAATGTTTTGGTAACGTGATTAGAGTGTATCTGTGACAGCTTTGTGTCCAAGTACAGTCTTGCTTCTCCATACAAACTCGGAGTTCTGTTTGTGGGAGCTAGTGTTTAGTTGTATCTGTATAAAGTGTACACATGTGTTTGTTGATACATTTTGAAACGTGCTGCTAAGGTTGGGGAAAAGTTGGTTCAACAAATCAGAATATTGGAACCAAAGAAGGGTCGGTCAATAGACTTTCTCCCTTTTGCTCACTTAAGGGAGTGGATAAGAACATAGTCGCTTCTCCCACCTAGGAAAGAACTGCATGTCAGGAGATGTCCCTAGTTGGAGAGTGTCTTGGTCTACTGGTTCTTCTAAGAGAGGTACTGGTGGACTCAACAAAGATCTGAAAAGCATTGGGATCACATCGAATGTTGTTGTTCTGTATTTGGAGACAGGCTCACTTAACAAGTTGGTATTTGCAAATGTTCAAAATTGTTCTGCGAATTGAAACTGAGCTAAGGATTGAGATGTTTGTTTATCTACCAAAATCAATATTGTAATTTTAATGGCAGTCTACCAAGAAACTGGAATTTCAACACATTCTAGACCTGACCGGGTGCCTTACAAATGCATACAAGATTTACATTGTAAAAGCTATGATGAATTTTAATATTCTAATATCCTCAGCTTTCCCAGCCGCTCCTGATTTCATGAATATTTAATTCTGTCATGACTGCATATTTACTACTTTAAGTGACTGTCTGTGCTTAGTTTTCGGAAATAACCATAACTGAGCATCATATTACCTAATTGGACTATAAGTCTCCTTTGCAAAGTAGGTGTGGGGAATAATTAAAATATACAGCCAGCGCTGCCATTTCCGTAATGTTGGTTCATATGCCCTGAGCGTGAGAAATTCCTGCCATCAGCAAAAATCTGTGCTTATTTGTTTCCCTTGGATGCACCATGCAGACTGTCTAATGTTCTACCGGTTGTGAGGAATAAGGAAGGCGATGCACTACACACATTACAGCAGGTGAAGAGAGGACTGAAAGCCGGTTGATTACAGTTCGTTAATTAGCATGTTCAGATAATTGAGTATTCCACTGATGTGATTTGCTTTATGTTTGTCTGCAATTTCTTGAGGTGGAAACAAAATACTACTTTTTCCCCTCCAGGTGTTTGCCTTCCAAAATGATCTTGCATCCCTCTCTCAACCCAGAAATCAGCTGTGCTTAACCCTTTCTTTGCTTGTCTCTGGCATGCTCCTACTGGTTCTTCTCAGAGTTTGAGGGCTGTAACTGTGTTTCAGACTTTAATAACTCTTTTTGTCTTTGATGGATACTAAGGCAGGTTATAAATTGATTTTCTTTAGCAATTGCTGATTCCATTATGAGGGAGGCCTTTGGGTGTCTAACCAAATTATTCTACTGAAATGTAAATGGGAGACAAATTGGGATAAAGTGAAATGTGGTTTTTACCAAGCTGTTTGGGGTGAGGTTGGGAGATTATCCCCATTGGATTTCAACACAGTAATGCATGAATGTGATGTATTGAACCATTATGTGTTCTTTTCACTCGTGAGAGTAAACAAAATATGAATTTTGAATACTGTATTATTTGTCTTAAATCTTCCCCAAGCAGGGTACTGCAAATAGGATGTCAGTGGATATGAACACCCTTTCCTGCTGCAAGTGTCAGGGGAGTAATGGGATTTATTTATTTAATTTTTCTGACTCGGGTTTGGGGCCATGATTTATTTTCTCATGAATTTATCCCAGTTGTCTTATTGGAAAAGAAATCAGAGCTTAGTGCCCGATCCGCTTGTCTCCTGAATCGCAGGTTCACGGTCATACGTCTTCAGAAAGTCTCTGAAATAGGAAGAAAGGTTAGAAAACTGGATCAATCAGGGGATTTTTTTACGCCAGAGTTTCGTGACGTGACTGGCACTTTCTGTTCCTAGAATAACGATGCCCGATTCCTCTCTAGCAAGTACTCTCCAGAGACACATTAAAGCAGCCACATGCTATGTACTAGGTGTACCGGTTAATAATGCAGATTTTTTTCAATGGATGGAGTTACACATATGTTGATATATATGCGATTTGATATGTATGCTATTTTGTTGTATTGACAGCAAGCTTCAAAATTTCATATGTCAAATTTTCTGAAGGTGTTAACATCATCGATATTTTTACGCTTAAAAATGTCGAATATCGTGCCAAAAAAAGCATTTGTGGGAAGTTTTAATTCATTACTTTATTTTGAAGAAAAGTGCTGCTGAAAGTTATTGTATACTTCGGGAAGCTTATGGTGAATATGCTCCATCTCAGGATACTTGTGAACGCTGGTTTGAATGCTTTAAAAGTGTTGATGTGGGAAATGTGTAGCTAGCGATGGATATGATTTTGAATAAAGCACTTTTGATGTTTCTCTTGAAATTATTGTGTTTTTTTGGGATTACAAAATCTGCATTATTAACTGGTAAATGGTCAATCCGCATTATTAACCGGTACTGGTTAAAAGTGTGGATTTTGTAATAAAACATGGTAATTTCAAGAGAAACATCAAAAGTGCTTTATTCAAAGTCATGTCCATCGATAGCTACGCATTTCCCCTATCTTTAGGTAATTTGTGGGTACCGTCCCAATAGAACTTTTGTTTTGAGGCAGACCATTCAGAGACCCAATTTTCCATTTCTTCGTATGTTTTGAAGTGCTGCTCAGAAAGTGCGTGTGCCATCGATCGATCGGAACATAATCTGAAGGAGCAAGGTCTGGTGAATACGGCCGGTGGGTTAATACTTCCCAGGCAAGATCTTTTAACGTGTCTTTAACTGGTTTTGAAGTGTGTGATGGTGCGTCATCATGAAGCAAAATTACTTTGCTGTGTCTTCTGGCCCATTCTGGTGGTTTTATGATCAAAGCATGGATCAAATTGATTATTTGTTATCGGTAGTGATCAGTATTAATGGTTTCACCTGGTTTTAGAAGCTCATAATACACCACACCTTCCTGATCCCACCAAATGCAGAGCATTGTCTTCTTTCCGAAGCGATTTGGCCTTGCAGTCGATGTTGATGGTTGACCTGGATCAACCCATGATTTTGTGTGTTTGGGATTCTCAGAATAAATCCACTTTTTGCCAGTCACAATTCGATGCAAAAAAGACTTTCGTGCTGTTGAAGCAACATTTTACTGATGACTTTTCGATTTTCCATTTGTCTTTCGTTCAGTTGATGTGGCACCCATTTTCCTTCCTTTAAAATCTTTCCCATTGCTTGTAAACAATCGGAAATTGTTTGCTGAGCAACGTTTAATCTTTCTGCAAGTTGTTTTTGAGTTTGACACGCATCTTCATCCAATAATGCTTGTAATTGTTGGTCTTCAAACTTTTTCGGTTGACCTGGATGTTCTTTGTCTTTCACATCGAAATCATAACTTTTAAAGAGTTTAAACCAGTGTTCACAAGTATCTTGAGATGGAGCATGTTCACCATAAGCTTCCCAAAGTATACGATAACTTTCAGCAGCACTTTTCTTCAAAATAAAGTAATAAATTAAAACTTCCCACAAATGCTCTTTTTTCTTGGCACAAAATTTGACATTTTTAAGCGTAAAAATATCGATGATGTTAACACCTTCAGAAAATTTGACATATGAAATTTTTAAGCTTGCTGTCAATACAAAATAGCATACATATCAAATCACATATATATCAACATATGTGTAACTCTGTTGAAAAAAATCCACGTTATTAACCGGTACACCTAGTATGCTGTGATTCCACCAACTGGAGAAAACCTGAAATCGAGCATTTGTTCGTCCTTTGCACTTTAAGGCAGGTTTATATTTAACCCTTACGAAAGCAGTCTCCTGTCCTTGCAATGACAGCAAAGACTGTGTATAACCCCGTGGGGGATCTCAGGGGTATTTCCTCACCCATTACCTCAAGAATGCCTTCCTCACATCTGAAAAGAGGTTGTCTAAACTGGACAAAACTCTTTTCTTCTAGTCTTACAGGTGAAGGTTGAATGGTCACTGAATAAGAGACCTTCAGATTCTGGGAAGTCTTCTCAATCCTGGGTTTATTCTTCATTAAAACTTTCTTGCAGCATTTTCTGTAGGCCTTAAACATTTAATTCTTTCTGGGCCTCTTAAAAGCCTTCTGAAATTCTTTGCTTATGGGAAATAATTCTTAGGTGGGTAGTTCTGAGACTTTGTTTGGAAAAGTTGAAAATAAGTTCCTTGTGTTGAGGACCAGCACCCCAGTATCTACTTCATTTATGTTACCAAGAT